GTCATGGAAGAAATACATAAGAACGAATTCGAAAGAGGATAGAGCAAACTATAGAACGAACGGAGATGTAGCAAAGAATATGGTAAAAGAAGTGAAAAAAGAAAGTTTCAAAGGAAACAAATAAAACCCGTCAAAGATAAAAGAACGAGATAAAGACAACTACTAGGGAAAATCTGGACATATTGGCAGATTTTTATGCAGATAGGTTCAGGAATGGAAAACTGACACAAGCAATGGAGGAGGGAAGACAAGGTGCGATAAGGGAAGACACTACAGACATAGCAACTGAAGAGATAACAATGGAAGAATTAGGAGAGGCAATGATGAAGATGAAAACAGACAAGGCTTGCAGCAAAGACAAGATGGATCCGGAGATGATAAAATATTTGGGAATAAAAGAGTCGGAAACAATCCTGAAAGGTTGGGAAGATAATATCATCTTACCAATACATAAAAAAGGAAGCTACTCGAACTGTGAAAATTACAGAGCCATCATCTACAAGTTACAAATTATACACAAATATAATAGAAAAAAGGTTAAGAAGAGTAGTGAAAATAAACTATAAATTGAACGATAACATACACATAATCCGAAATATCATTGAAAGGAGAATAGAGATGGGCAATGAATTATACCTAATATTCTTGAAGCTAAAAGCAGCTTTTGACATGATTAACCATAGTATTATATGGAAGTGTCTAAAACAACTAATGGTACCACAAAAACTAACAAAAATAATTAAAAACTTGTACAAGAGTCAAGGGCGCAGGACAAATGAAGGGAGAAACATCAAAGACTTTTGAAATGAGCAAGTGAATAAAACAAGGCGATAGCCTAAGCCCCTTGTTATTTATAATATTAATGGACAAAGTGATAAAAAATACAAGAACAAGAACAAATAAATATCAAACAGTAATAGGTTATAAAAATTTGTCACCAGTAAAAATAGATAATAGAGAACCATAAAAAAGCAACGAAGTTGGTTGGAATATGGACAGAAGAAATTGAAAAGATGGGCCTAGAATTGAACGTAAATAAATGTAAAATTGTGATCATAAATAAAGAGGAAATAAGAAATAACCCGAAAGAATTATTTATTAAGGAACAAAAGATAGAAGAAGTATCATCATATAAATACTTGGGCAGTATAATATCATAAGATGGAAGGAGATTTAGATGTAAATGCAAGAATAAGGAAAACAAACAACGTATATCATACTCTAAATAGAACAATTTTTGGGAAGAAGGAGATAGATAAAAAGATAAGATTGAAAGTGTATAACTCGGTGGCAGTCCCAATATTAACACATGCCAGTGAATTATGGACACTCCAAGATAAACAAGAAGGAAAGATCACACCAATGGAAATCAAATTTTTACTGAAAATAGGAAGACGAAGTGGGGTAGGATAAGGAATGACGAAATAAAACTGGGAGTATACAGGGTGTCTCAGCGAGACCGATCATTAGATGTTTTTGGGGTTCTAGCCAAACAGAAAATTTGAGAATGCAGACTTAAGTATTATCAATTACGTTCTCTTCATCTAAAATATTTTCAGATTTCCAGCACTTCCGGTTATACCGGAAGTCGCCACCTACTCTATTTTTTTAAATGGAGTACCTGTATATATTTACATATTTGGATTTGTCTGTTTTGAAGGTTTATAAATAACTTTACTTTTTACAATTTGAACCAGCAATTCTCGAGTTATTAGAATTTTTCTAGAAAAATCTGCTCCAGCAGACATTTGTTCAAAAAATCAGAAAACACTCAATTTTTGGGATATCAATTTAGGATTGAGAACATGCTTAAGCAACATGATGGAGTATGTTTTGGTGCCGAGAACTGCGGTCTAGAACGTTTGATCACTTTACTATGGCACGTTAACTTTTCAAAATTTGGAAGTACCATAACTTCATTTTTTTAAATGGCACCCCCCATATTTTATTTTTTAGTCGTCTTCGGTGTCTCATTCTACATCTTTTATATCCCATATGGCCCATACCTAATATTAATAGTTTGGGAGATAATTAGGGTTTTTTGAAAAATGCACACATATCATATGGATATTTAGCCTAGTGTGCCATGAAAAACAAGCCTTCTCAATGAGTTCTTGTCAAAGACTCACTTGTTTACGTCACTTGATGCATGTGAGCTAATAATTATCTGTTATGTCCCTTAATATTAGTACTGAAACGAGTTAAAATCGATAACAATAACGAAAGTAATATTTACACAAATCAAGAAATTCTTAATTTATTTTTTTTGCATGAAAAGCGCGACAAAGTTCGTAGTATGATTCCCAGATCTTCTTTGGCAGCTCGAATTGAGGTGTTGGGACTGGGCTCGAAATAAGCCAAGGTATTCACCTCTTCCGTTGCATTATCTACTACATTTTTTGGTCAGTTTAACACGTGATTAATTCGTCCAAAATGCAAAAAATTTGCTTCTATTCCTCTAAATTTACCTTTTGTCATCGGAGATAAATGTGGATAATTTTCATTAAACATTCTGCAAGTTCTACTAAGAACTTTGTCGCACTTTTCGTGCACAAAAAATAAATTATGGATTTCTTCATTTGTATAAACATTATTTACGTTATTAATATCCATTTTAACTGGTTTTAGACTCACAAGCATCAAACAACCTAAATTAGACTTTGACGTTTATCAATAAGTCATTAAACATTTGTTTTCCATGGCACACTAGGTTAATATCCATATGATATGTGAGCATTTTTCAAAAAACCCTAATTATTTCTCAAACTATTAATGTTAGGCATAGGACATATGGAATATAAAAGATGTAAAATGAGACGCCGAAGACGACTAAGTAATAAAATATGGGGGGTGCCATTTAAAAAAATGAAGTTATGGTGCTTCCAAATTTCGAAAAGTTAACGTATCATAGTAAAGTGACCAAACGATCTAGACAGCCGTTCTCGGCACCAAAACATACTCCATCATGTTGTTTAAGCATGTTCTGAATCCTAAATTGATATCTCAAAAATTGAGTGTTCTATGATTTTTTGAACAAATGTCCGCTGGAGCAAATTTTTCTAGAAAAATTCGAATAACTCGAGAATTGCTGGTTCAAATTGCAAAAAGTAAAGTTATTTATAAACCTTCAAAACAGACAAATCCAAATATGTAAAAATATACAGGGTGTTCCATTTAAAAAAATAAAGTAGGTGGCGACTTCCGGTATAACCGGAAGTGCTAGAAATCTGAAAATATTTTAGATGAAGAGAACGTAATTGATAATACTTAAGTCTGCATTCTCAAATTTTTTGTTTGGCCAGAACCCCAGAAACGTCTAATGACCGGTCTCGCTGAGACACCCTGTATATTAAGAGACAATCAAAAAAATAGAGAAAAAGCAACAAAACTGGTACGCCCACATATTTAGAATGGAACATAACACAATAGTAAAAAAGGTATTTGAAGCAAAGAATAAAGTTAAGAAAATGAGGGGAAGACCTAGGAAGAAGTGTAAGGAAAGAATAGTACAAGTTGGGAAGACTCTCCTCAGATATAAAGGAATTAGCCAGGAACCAAAGGGTTATCGCCATCGTGTTTTCACATGTAATTTTATGGAAATGGCTGCTTTGGTGTAATTTCTTTCAGTTTACATTTTTTTTTAACGTAGCCAATAAAATGTGAGAATCGTTAGTTTCTTTGATGACAGCCTTAACATCTTCCATAGTAGTAGACATAGTTTTCATTTTTGAAATGTCTCCAATTAACAAATTGAATCCATAAACAGAAATATGTTTATATTTTCCATGAAGAATATTTCTTGCTTTAACCATTGCACTGGCATTGTCGGTTACTATAGCAAAGAATTTTTCAGTACCAACTTCTCTCAAAATTTCATCGATTTTTTAGCACTATATTTTACAGTATGTCGACAAATATTTGTTGGCACAGTTTTATAAAACTCCGGGTTTGGTGTTATAATAATGGAGTTAAGTATGGATTCGTTCCTTTGGTTGCTCCAACCATCAAACTGTAAGCTAAGAGCATTCGCTTCTCTACTTTTCATTTTAATGTCTGCATCAACTTTTTCATACTCGGAGTCCAGCAATTTAGTTGATAATAAATAACGTGTAGGCATTTTGAAAGATGGTCTCAAATGTTTGAAAATGATTGCCAGTGATTATTTTCAACAATGGCAATTTGAATACCTGTAACATAAACAGCCCTAGCTAATAGTTGATTTTGCTTATCTTGTTCAACTTTTGATGAAACATCAATAAAACCAAATTTGGAGGATTCTAACGCCTCGCCCGCAAGCAACCTCGGTGATTTGCGGTGATATCGTTTTTTGTATATTTTGGTAAAGATACAGTAATATGTTGACATTAATACAAAACCGTCAGTTTTGGATATCGTTCCTTACATATCTTGTTAATAATAGAAAGTCTTCTACTATAATACATATATCGTGGTAAAGATACAAACTCTCATATAAGAAAACATTTACTCTCAAACCGCCGCCGTCGCTTGAGGACGAGGCCTTGGATTTGATATATCAATACGAAAGTCATTTTTGGAGTATTCTAGCGTCTCGCCCGCAAGCGACCTTGGCGATTTGAGTCAAAATCGTTCCTTTTATATCTTGATAAAGATACAAATTCTCTAATAAGAATTTTTTTTTCTTGGTATTAAGGGTAAAGAAATGGATCGAATTTTTAAAGAGGAAGGGGTAATAGATGAAGATTCTTTTTCTGAAACGGAAGCAGAGTTAATTGAAGTAGAAAATGATAAAGGAATTAATGAAATTATTGGGCACATGGAAGATAAAGATGGTGAGGATTTGGGTGAGCTAGTTGTAAGAAATAAAACAACGAATAAAATTAAATTAAGGCCGAAAAATAGTTTTGGTAAGAACTTAAAATAAATAAATTCTGATTTGACAACAATTTTGTTTTAGTTTCAAGAAAACGTAAACGTTACCAGTGCGACATTTGTGGTCGAATATTTTCCCATCCGAGTCGATTAGAGGTTCACAAATCATTTCATAAGAATGAAAATTACATGTGCGCTGCAGACGACTGTAATTATCAGGTTGAGACACGCTTAGAAATCGACAATCATCACAAAGAAACCGGACATTCCGGGTTTAGTATTATTAAATTAGAATCGAATGATATATCAGATGAAGCTGGGGACGACAAAAACGATGGAAAAAAAATTATTTGTAAAATTTGTAATAAGACTTTTTCGTGTAAACAAAACCATGAAGTACATTTTAAAGCAATTCACGAAAACCAAAAACCTTACAAATGCGAGAAATGCGATAAAACGTTTCCATATTTATCTAGTTTTAAGTGCCATCTCCAACAACATACCGAAAAGATCTATCCGTGCGAAAATTGTACGAAAATATTTAATCATCCAAGCAGTTTGGTTTACCACCGAGAAGCGGAACATAATAACGGAAGGAGATTCGTCTGTTCAAAATGCAAGAAAACGTTTAAACACAAACAGCTGTTGCTACGACATCAATTGGTTCATTCGAATGTGAGACCACACGACTGCAAGTACTGTTCGGCAAGTTTTAAAACACGCGCGAATCTGTTGAATCATATGCCAACGCATACCGGTGAGAGAAAATATTTTTGTAACGTTTGCAGTCAAACGTTCGCCCATAAAACATCGTTAACGTTACATATGAGATGGCATAATGGTTCGAAGCCTTACGAATGCGATGTGTGTCAAAAGACGTTTTCGCAAAAAGGAAATTTAGCCGAACACAAACGGATTCATACAGGTGAGAATTAAGAATTTAATAAAAAAAAACACCTAAAGAAAAAGAAGTTAATTAAAATTACTAACTTATTAAACCTTGTGTGAAAATGACCGATTCACATTGATTCACATTCACAAATTATCTATGTAGTCTTTTATATAAAGCTCTTACTGATATTCGCAATTTCTTTGTAATTTTGCTATGTTGGTCAATATTTTCTCCATTTCCTTTTATTGAAAGAAATTATTTGTTGGATCCATTGTAACTAGTGACTTAATAATTTGAAAGTAATAAATTTTGTACTTTTACTGGTTAAAAACTATTTATTCATTACAAGCTGACATGTTTCGATCTATTCGATCATCTCTTGGCCAAATTTTTAACTTGTATTCGTCGTAGTTTTAAAGTGTTTTCTGTACAAATAGTATAAAAAGAAATTTTTTGAAATGTTAACTTTAAGTTAATAAATAGACTGCAGCTTTGAAGATGATCGAATAGATCGAAACATGTCAGCTTCTAATGAATAAAT